TTGACCAGGATGGCCTCGATCTGTTGACCTCGTGATCCACCCGCCTCGGCCTCCCAAAGTGCTGGGATTACAGGCTTGAGCCACCGCGCCCGGCCTTCTTTGTTTGTTTTTTGAGACAGAGCTTCACTGTGTCGCCCAGGCTGGAGTACAGTGGCGCAATCTCGGCTCACTGCAATCTCTGCCTCCCAGGTCCAAGCAATTCTCATGTCTCAGCCACCTAAGTAGCTGGGATTACAGGCATGTGCCACCGTGCTTGGCTAATTTTTTGTATTTTTAGTAGAGACGGGGTTTCACCATGCTCCCCAGGCTGGTCTCGAACTCCTGGTTTCAAGTGATACACCTGCCTTGGCCTCCCAAAGTGCTGGCTTACAGGCATGAGCCACTGTACCCAGACTGTTCTGAATATTAACTCCTTATTAGATAAATGATTTGCAGATAATTCCTCCCATTCCATAGGTCTTCTTTTCACTCTGTTGATTGTGTCATTGGGCTATAAGATGTTTTCAGGCTGGGTGTGGTGGCTCATGCCTTTAATCACAGCACGTTGTGAGGCTGAGGCGAGTGGATCCCTTGAGGTCATTAGTTTGAGACTACCTTGGCCAACATGGTAAAACCCCCGTCTCTACTAAAAATATGAAAAAAAGTAGCTGGGCATCATGGTACATGCATGTAATCCCAGCTACTCGGGAGGCTAAGGCAGGATAATCACTTGAACCCAGGAAGTGGAGGTTGAGGTAAGACTAGATTGCACCACTGCACTGCAGCCTGGGCAACAGAGTGAGACTCCTTCTCAAAAAACAAAAAGATGTTTTCAAATAACTAATTTGTTATAAAGCTATCTTGTTAGTAATCAGGGAAACACAAATTAGTAGTACAATAATGATAAAGTTCAGTCTTCACCCATCAGATCAACTTTTGGCAAGGATACAGGGAAATGAATACATCACTACATTGTTGGGTAGTAGTGTATTTCGGCACAGCCACTTTGGAGGGCAATTTGGCTGTATCCATGTTTTTTTTTGTTTTTTTTTTTTTTTTACAGAGTCTTGCTGGAGTGCAGTGGCACAATCTCAGCTCACTGCCACCTCTGCCTCCTGGGTTCAAGTGATTCTCATGCCTCAGCCTCCTTAGTANACAGAGTCTTGCTGGAGTGCAGTGGCACAATCTCAGCTCACTGCCACCTCTGCCTCCTGGGTTCAAGTGATTCTCATGCCTCAGCCTCCTTAGTAACTGGGATTACAGGCACCCACCACCACGCCGGGCTAATGTTTGTATTTTTAATAGAGACGGGGTTTTACCATGTTGGCCAGGCTGATCTCAAACTCCTGGCCTCAAGTAATCTACCTGCCTTGGCCTCCCAAAATGCTAGGATTACAGGCGTGAGTCAACACGCCTGGCCACTATATCCATTTTAATTTAAAAATGTTTATTTGTCTTTTTTTTGAGATGGAGTCTCACTCTGTCAGCAGGCTGGAGTGCAGTGGCACCATCTCGGCTCACTACAGTCTCCCCCTCCCAGGTTCAAGCAATTCTCCTGCCTCAGCCTCCCAAGTAGCTGGGGCTACAAGCATGCACCACCACGGCCAGCTAATTTTTGTATTGTTAGTAGACATGGGGTTTCACTATGTTGGCGAGGATGGTCTCTTGACCTCATGATCTGCTCACCTTGGCCTCCCAAAGTGCTGGGATTACAGGCGTGAGCCACTGCTCCGGCTAATTTAAAAATGGTGACCTAACAATCCCATTTCTAGAGAATCACTTTCACATGGGTATAGGGAGATAAGCATAAGGATGCTCACTGCAACATAATTTTTAGTTGATAAAAAGGAAAAAAACTCTCTTAAGTCCAACAACAGCATAGTAACTTTGAGAGTGAGGTTGGCTTTATATATTTATATGCACCTGCATTTACATAAATGCAGGTGCATATAAGTGATGTATGTGTGTGTACATGTAATATACACATACATATGTATATATATCATAGATCTTTCAAACATGGTTGAGTTAAAGCATATTGCAGAATGATACCATTAATATGATACCATTTATGTTAAAATAAAACAGATAGCAATATTACATGTTTTCTGGTGGTATATACACATATATGTCAAAAAGATCTGACCAAATATGCATTCCTAGCTAAGAAATCTGTATTTTACTCCACTAGAATGGAAACTTCGCCATACCACAGATATTTTAATCTGTTCAGAGATTATGCAAAATGAATACATTTGTGAGCACTAAGATAATTTTATGTAAGCTGAGGTAAGCTCCAAATAGAGTGCATTCTCAATTTGAAGGAACCAAGATAATAAGATAATGCTCTAAAATGGCAGTGAAAAACAGTACAAAATGGTGGCTATATGCAGAAGTAGTCACCTCTAAGAAGGTTCATAAATGTTTACTGATGAGCATCACATTCCTCTATTCTCCATCATGACATGATGATATATTTGAGAAGACAGCACAGGAAATACTAAGAAATATATATTCGGTCAGTCAAGTGTAATACTTAAGGTCACAGGCAGCTTTGCTTTTGAAGCCTGGCTCCTCCAGTTTTCACTCTCCTTAGGCAAATCAAATCACTTAACCTATCTAAACCCAAGCCTCCTCATATTTGTAAAATGCCTAAATTTCAAGATGTTAACTGTGATTAAGATTATTTTCCTGATAATGTATATTTTCATGGGCTCCTTTTTATTCAGCTAAACATGAATTCGGCTCCAACTTTCATCAACTTTCCTGCAAAAGGGAAACCCAAACGGGGTGATACATATGAGTTGCAGGTGCGGGGTTTTTCAGCTGAGCAGATTGCCCGGTGGATCGCAGACAGAACTGATGTCAATGTAAGTTCCCCCACTTTATAGATGGTTTCTTTTTGAATCTTACTGGGAGGCCTTAATTAGTCTTGTCACCATATCACTGTGGTGGTAGTAGTTTGGCAGTCCCTTCATAAGTAGCATTAAACAGAATCATCCTGATGAATGAGTGAAATTACAAAACACCCTCTACTGCCCTGTTGAATTCAGCATGGAAACCACTCTTTCGACCTTCTCAAGTTTGCAGGTTATCCATTTGTACTTGGCAAATCCTTCTTAATCTAAAAGATGTTCGGCCGGGTGCGGTGGCTCACGCCTGTAATCCCAGCACTTTGGGAGGCCGAGGCGGGTGGATCACGAGGTCAAGAGATCGAGACCATCCTGGTCAACATGGTGAAACCCCGTCTCTACTAAAAA